TAAAAAATCATCACATGTTTGGTGATACAAAGTATGATATTTTTGCAAATGTAATTTTTAATTTAAAAATTAATGATTTTTTAAAAGATTATTTTTAATTTTTAACACTCATATATCAAAACCATAAAAAAAAAAAATCACTACTTTAATATTTTTTATATGAAAAATAGTTTGAAAAACATTTAAAAAACAAGTTAAGCCCCAGTACCAACCGAACTTATACATAAATAAAAGGATAAAAAGAGTAATTAAGGCCATGACATATAAATAAATTTATCATGGAATTTTTTGAAAAGCTTAAATTAAGGCAGAAGACTTTTCATACATCTGACCACGCCTAAAATAATTATTGTAGATGGTATGAGATATTTCAAATCAAAACTGTATCCATATTTGACTCTCTCTCTCTCTCTCTCTCTCTCTCTATATATATATATATATATATATATATATATATCCCTGGACAGGCAGACTGTACATGGCCACTAGTATATTCAGAAAATACTTTTTTTTTTTTTTGTTCTCTCGTACTCGATGGAGAAAAGGAGAGGTGATAAGGTAGGATTTCAAGTGGCTGGGACAAAAGAGAGGAAGGCTGCGGCTCATTTCCAATCCTGATAAAATTTATCCTCCGCACGAAGAAAGTGGGGAAATGGTCATGCAGTCGTGATTTGTCCTCCTCCTTTGATTTCTCTAGTTAAACATGATTAAACAATGTGGGGTCAGGGGGGATGGATTTTGGAAAAAGGTTTCCATTTGTTGACTGTCGTTTACTCTTCTGGGTCGCTTTCAGCATGAAAGGGCAAGCAAATCTTTGTTTTGCTTTGTGTTAAAATATGATTGGTAAAGTATTTAGTCTAATTAAGTTTGATTATTTTTCTTTTCCTAAGGCGCAGCTGATTGATTACTGGTCATCTGGTTTTAACTTTTGAGGAGCATTACCAGTATTGAAGCCATTTGCAATGTTACCATGAGAAATAACTCTCGCCTCCACTTCACTAGATATTAGAGATTATATCTGAATTTCTTTTGTTACCTATTCAAACCTAAAATAGTAAATTAACCTAATAAAAATCAAATCAAATCAAATCATCCGGTTGATCAGCTCCTTCGGTCGCACAATACCAGACATCACGTTTTTGCCACATAATGAAGCCCTCGGAGACCAAATATGGAAAAACAGAAGATAACATAGTGCATTAAACCTATGGATCATGGGTCCTGGCTAACATGTATTCTACGCCTATACAAAGAGACCATGAATGTTACATGGCGGAAGGGTCAAAACAGTCTTCCACCTTAAATCAAATGCGATACCATCAAATAGTATTCATGGGCATGAAAGCAAGCAATGGTGTAGATGCAACTAATACATGTTGCAAGTTATTACCGGATCTACAAGGTGTTGAGAATATAGCTTCATGTTGCTTAAACTGTAAAAATCTTCCTCACCTTCTTCAAATTCCTGCGACATATAGGGCAAGTACCATCAGCTTCTGCTATCCTGCAAAGATCAAATTTAAACATATAAATTGGCTTCTTATTTGTCAAGATGATTGTCGTGGAAAGAAAAATAGCCTTGCATCAGTAAATTCAATCAGTAATGGCATACACCAAATTTTATTCACACCAATTCTGACTATTAGCTATGACCCAGAAGAGTGAGTCAGAAGTAAAATCACACTAAATAGCATTCCGGAACTTCACACGTTTTTATTGATTCCCTGCGATATTTGAAAACACTAAAATCATCCGACTCTTTTTATGTGCAATTGCTATTATGATACAGAATAGAATACCTTAATATGGCATGCTAACAACTTCAAATAGAAATCATGACATTTCACAAGTCCCACCAAACCAAACCATGCCGTGATCAGCTTGTTGTAAAGGTCATGCGTAATAATTGGTCATGTTGGGATTGTGCACTAACAAAGGATGCAGCCATCTAGCTTCCATTAAAACAATATTCCCGTAATTAAAAGATACTATTAAAGTGCTCCAATAGACCAACTAAAACACTGAAATGGTTTCCAAGCCTCTCTAGGTCTCATCAACTCTGCAGACAACATGGTTTAAAATATCGAGTATAACCAAGGAATGTGAGACATTTAGACTGCTGATATTTTAACACTTATCATGGAAGGGATTATCTTGTCCGCTACCATCAAAGAGCATCCGCATCAGCCAGCAACACTCTGATTGTGATTTAAAACAATGATATTTTACAATACCAAAGGCCTAAGCATGGACTTGTCGCATTGTAAATACTTTCTGTAACCATATGCATATTAATAGTGCTTTCTTCATTTCAATATGCCATCTACCAAGTGCCAGCTAAGTCTAAAACACATCCTAGGGTTACACAGGGCACGCCCTCACAGACTAAATGAAGAATTGATGCATTTACATCATCCCCAGTTTGCCATCCTTAATTTGTCACAAGGTCCGGAAAGTGCTGTTTCAAGATCAGAAAAATAGTCTAAATTTGAGGGTGGACAGTGATTACCTTGTTCCACATGCAAAACAAGCAACACAGTGCCCACATGGGAGGAAGAAACATTCCCTTGGAGCATCAAAGCAAATTGCACAAAGACGATGGGTATTATTGCCATTTTCACCATCTCTTGATTTCCCTTCGATGGAACCAGCCGCAAGAAAATCTTCAAGATCCTCCTCATCGTTTGAGACAGAATCATAAGATGAGCCCCAACTTGAAAGGTCATCATCTTTACATGAAAGCAAGGGGGCTCTCTGAGCTTCAACCTCTCCAAACAGAAGTCTGGTTCCATCTTCACGAATGCATTGAAACTTGTTCAAGAAGTTGAGTGCCGCTAGTATGAGAACTGTCATTCCACCTACAGGCAGAAAAACAAGTAAACATAAGATATCCCTGTGTCAATTAAAGGGAGGAAACACAAGAATAGAGTATACCTATGCCGACAATATATGTGGCCCATCTTGGTACATAGGAGACTTTGACGTTCCACTCATCACTTTCTGAACCCTGAAGCAAATGAAAAAAAAAAACATGGATAAAGGTTGGGAATCTTCCGTTCTACAGACTATTTGATGATGATCTTTTCTCTGGTAGTCCTACTGAAATCTATAAATACAATACTGTAAGAGTGCCAATGGGACAGCCTTAAAAGAAATGGAACTCCAAAGTTATGTCTAAAGTGGGACTGGTACTTTTAAAACTTATTCTTTTCCTCTTCCATTCAACAAAGCTCTCAACACCAGATGTTGGCCTTACATTAAAAGAGAGGCGTTACAGTGAAGATAAACAGATTTACCTGTTCTGGACCGAAAGAGTTTAAGACAGCAACATTTCCATTATGAAACATAATGTTCAAACTACACTTGCCGTCAGTAAATGCACATTTGTAGTAAGCTTTGGTTGTATTGTATTGGAAAGATGTTACTCTGATGGCTAACTGAACCTGTTTACAAAGAAAAAAAAAGACTCACCCGAGTAAATAGTGCAAACAGCCATCCAGGAAGGACACAGGACAGTTTCAAAATCAACACAAGTAGAAACAAGATTATAAAGTAATAAAATGAACACAGATATTTCACGCCTACGATATAGCACATATGAAAATAGGCCATTTTTTTAGACTCTTTGAATATATCTTAAGCAGGTTATGGGTCTAAAGGGTTGACTTCCAGAACCCTGCATTAATGCACTATAAATATATATATATATATATATATATATATATATATATATTGCCTAAGATTTTTGTATAGGAGAAAGGATACCATACATAACAGTCATCTTCATTGTTATCTGCTAGACCGATTATAGAACCTGGGGATGATGAAAATGGAGAGGGAAAGGGAGGGGGGTGCCTCTGTCACTGGAGTGCAAATGGCCAAAACCACAAAGTACTTTTTCATGTTTTGTCTACAAAGTTCATGTTTTGTTTACGAAGTTGTCCTTTCAAATGAGCTGTAGCTTAGGTTGACAAGAACATGAATGCTCTCAACGTTAAAAAATTGTAAACTTATCAAGAGATGAAAAACAATGTAGAGAAAAATAAGCACCTTTTTTGCTATTTATGGCATAATTCACGGGTCAAAAGGTGACGTTAGCCAAATACTAATCCATGTAGATTCTCATATTCTTTTGTAAGCGAATCAAACAAAAAAATCATGTGGTTCAAGCACCAGTGGCACAAGGAAATTTTCATATTTTGCACTTATCTGACAACGTAGAAAATATCACAATGATAAGGTGCACCGGGTGATCTAAACATTGCCGAAAGGAAAATATTTTAGCAAGTTCAATACAAGAAACAAGGAGAGACAAGGTCCTAAATTTTCAGATAAAGTATCGTTCATGTCTTTATATTCTTCAATTACTTAATATGATGTCTGGGAAGCCAACTTATTCTTCAATTACTAAATATCATGTCTAGGAAGCCAAGAACTACAAAAACAAAGAACAGTCTATCTGTGGATCGTAATAGAAGAAATGAGATATTTATAGATTAAATCTTTATTAATTGCTTGTGGAACATTCCTGCAAAAAGAAACCAATTGATTATACATAAACAGGTCCAAAAGTTTGCAAATTACCTCTACTTTCCCTGAGTTCAAGTTACCCACTGCAATATAGTAGCTTGCAGAGGTCAATATACTCTGTTGGACAAAACCACTTCCTGCGAAGAAAAAAATTCCACATCAGTTAACATTTTTATAAAAAGAAAACATCTAAAATCACAACCTTAATCTCACCTTGAATGACATTCCATGATAAACTGGTGTTTGGATAAGTTGGATCCTCAAGCCATTGAGAAAGGCCTTCATTCCCTGTGATTTCCCAGCTTCAGAATCACATGAAAATAAAACTCAAAGTCCAATTTTGTAGCCAACAAAGAAAGATAACTAATTCCCAATTCACATGGACTCATTACATTTGCATAGCTGCCCTTGAAGCAAGCACATATGACAATTCCAGAAAGCCACAAAATATATCTAATAATCAGTTCCTAAGCATACCTTGTGCAATTACAAGGAAAACAGAAGAGCTCGGGGAGTTCACCCTGTATGAGATATTTATTTGAGATCCCTCATTCAGAAAATATACGGAGTCCTGGAGAACAAAAGCAAAATAAGCACAAGAACATTCACAAGCACCAAAACCAATCAAAACATAACTGCAACCATAGCTTTACAGGCACCATTTCACAGAAAAAAACACCTGCCTTGTGAGAATAGGCAGGAACAGAGACATCAAGAGTTCTAGACCAGGTCCGTACAACATCAAGTGGAGGAGGTTTAGAAAAACCATATAGCATCAGCCCCGGATTAGTATCATACAACTGTTCCACCTAGAGAAAACCAACCCAAATTTATCAAAATTACAACCCAAAACACCATACCAAGTTCAAGAACCTCTTTTAATTCAATAATGGAAGTATTGTATCTAAACCATTAATTCCCGTCGGTACCAGCTTTAAGAACGACAGATACAGATAAAATAAAATAATTTACCTTTATAGACTGCACAAATAAGGGATTAGGTGGTAAAAGAATCGAGCATTTCGGTCCTAGGGTTAGCCTCGTTGAACCATAAACCCCCAAAATCAAAGTCATGGACACTGTCAAATTAACAACCAATTATAAGATACTAAAACTATCTACAATTTAACATTGAACACTGTAAAATCTGATCTAAAAAAAATTAAAAATAATAATAATAATAATAGAGAGAAAAATGATAAACGAAAGACAAACCAAAGAAGCACAATGTGAGAACCACGACGACACAAAACCACGAGCAATCTCTGATAGCAGATAAATCATCAAACCCAAAATAATTTCCACGGTAGGAAAGCTCAATGTATTGGTGTTGGAGATACTCTATCTCTGGCTGTCTAAACTCAGGTTGACGAAACCGTTGATTATCTTCTTCGTGAACTGGAAAAGAAGCGTGATTCGAAGAAGAAGAAGATGCAGAAGCGGAATAATCCCTAGAAGAAACTGAAATTTGACCTGGTTGTGCCATTCTAAGAAGCAAAATAGGATGGATAATTTAATTAAATGAGTGAAAAATTGAAAACCCTAAGTAGGAACTAGAGGAAGAAGATCGGTGCAAACCTTGGAGAAGTTGAAGAGAAGGAGATTCCATGAGAGTGGATGATACTGGCTGAGTTACTGCAACTAACTCACCGATCAGTCTACTTTTTTCGAAAAGAGACCACGGACTGGTTGTTGTGAATTCTGGCGGGGTTTTATAGTATATTTTGGAATGCCTAAGCTATGGACGGTTGTATGGTTAAATGACTAAAATGACCTTCCGAGCCCTTGGATAATTTATAACCGCAGATAACCTTTTATGTTTTTGTGAGAAAAGCTAATAAGATCCTCCTTCGGACCTTTGTCTCCTTGTTATTCGTGGGCGATTGTGCGCGCGCGCGCGCGCGTTCTTTCAAATGATGTAGCCTTTATAAAGACACGCTTTCTCCCTCAAGGGTGTTTTAGATATTTAAGTTCATGGTAAAAACGCAGGGGAAAAAAAAGATAGAAGAGGGTAGCTTGGTTGTTTGATTTAAAAAAATTGTTTTTTAAAAAAATGAAAAAGCTTTGCCAAATACACCAATCAGAGAGCTTGTTTTTAACATTCATTGGGTGAAGGTACATTGACTTAATTTTGATTTTTGACTTATGACGTCACTTCAAATTAGATTACTATATTTTTCATTGGTATTGCCTTGTATGCTATCATTTTCCCGGTTAGTCAAACAAGACTAGGTGGCAGATAAGGAAAAAATGACATTAATCTCAAATTTCAACAAAAAATGACATTAATCTCAGATTTCAACAAATATTTCATTAAAACATTTAAAATATAGATTATAATTTGTAACCTATTTGTTGAGAATTTCATACAAAAGTTTTCTTACTGAAGAACCAAAGTTTTGAGAAAATAAGCATAATTGAGCTTGATAATGTGTCAAGCTCCGGATATACTTAAGAGAATATATATTTACCTTAGATACGTATAAAGGGATAATTATTCTCCTTTAACATGTTCAAGAAAATGAGATAATGTAAATATGACGAACATATCAATCTCAAAATACTTGAACTTAATATTTATCTAAGTTTTAAGTAACATGAGTTTAGAAAATATATCAAATCCAAAACACTTGAACTTGGCAATTCACCAAGCCAAGACAACATGAGTCTACTTAGACTTGATAGTCTAGTACGCCCAATGGAATGATCATCCTTTTTTGAGCACGTCTAAAAGAATGACAACATCTTTCATTGGACACGTCCAAGGAAATGATCATCCTCTATTAACACACTTAATAGAATAAGATAATGTGGATATGCTAAACATGGTAAATTCAAGGTACTTGAACTTGGTAATCAACCAAATCTAAGATAACGTAAGTCTAAAAAATATGTTAGACTCAAAGTACTTGAACTTAGTTATTTGTCAAGTCCTATGTAACATAGGTTTAACAAACATGCGAAACATAAGACATTTGAACTTGGCAGTCCGACAAGTCCAAGATAACGACCATCTTCTCTTAGCACGCCCAAGAAAATGATTATCTTCCCTTGGCATGCCCAGAAAGATAACCCTCCTCTCTTAGGTCTAACTTAGGAGAAAAGCTCAGCCTCTATAAATTCAACTACATTTGATATCTGAGATCTTAATATCTCTACATCTTTTAGGTATATAAAAATCTTCTAGGAACCCACCATATTTTTATCAAATATTAAAATAGATGTAAAGGATATTTATACCTCATTAAAAGCTATCACGTTAAAATTATAATCTAGAACTATCTCTTTATAAAAAGATGAAATTCATAAGCTATAAATATACCATGAAACCTTCAAATCAAAGTTTCACAATCTCCATTTTTTATTGCATATATATTTTTAGAGCATCTCTCTTTATAATATTATTGTATTTTTTCTCTAAAAATATGTTTATTTAAGCATTAGAGAGTCCTCACCTCCATCAAAATAGATCTTTTATTTGTATTAGTCACAAGTCACATTGATCTACCAAGCATTGAGTATAAGCTATTGATTACTTTGGTTATGAAAAAATAAATGGCATTGCTAGGATTAATTGATTAACCAATTATCTAACCTGAAAATTATATTCCTATGCTACTTGAAGTTTTTGGAACTTCAGGCCTTATTCGATATCACTATCGATTGCTTTTTATCACTTATTAATTAACATGAAAATTTAATATGAAAAGTTTGTGTGTAAATCATCATCCTTAAATGTGAAGGGATATTAGTATATTTTCCATAATAAACTGGAGGGATAGATAATACATTCTATAATTTCCCTACTAAAAAGATAGGTAAGCATAAACCAAAGCCAATAGGCATGGACTGAACTTGAAGATAACTAATCTTGCTAAGCAATTTAAATATGCTAAAAATAACAGAGGAAGAGGAAGAGAGGAAGAGGAAGAGATGGCCAAAACTTCTCAACAGTTCAACTAGTTATCAAGCTAGCATAAACTGAATCTGATAATATTTTTGATAAAAATCTAAGTTATTTCTACAGAATAGATGTATTGCCAGAATAAAAAGGAGGAAGTAAATTATGGAGGTCACGTGGGGATGATCAAAGAGCACAATTTTATTTATTTTTTATTTTTTTATAATTTCATTAAATCTCATTGCATAATCTTAATAGGAGATCTTGAAATGCAGGCAAGGGAAAGAGCTAATGAACCCAAAAGTAAAATCCAAAGAGGATGGAAAGTTGTTGGTATTTGCAAAAAAAGGATGGTACATGCTACGAAGAAGTCTCAATATTTAACAATGAAACGAACAAGTCAGAATCACAGAGACAGTCTCTCCCTATCTTTTTTTTTGTATCATATACAAGCCTCCATTGTTGTTTCTTAGATATGGTTTGCCCTTTTCTTTTTGCTCTTTAGTGTTGTTGTTGTTCTTGTCCAATTCCATTTCTTGGGAAATTAATAGAAGAAATGAAGCATATTTATTATTTTGATTCCCCGTTTTGTTCATACCGAGAGGAAGAGATCAAAGAAATTGTTGAAATTATTTTCATAGGAATGGATGATGTCAAGCCATGTGAATCCTCCAAATAGCTAACACATTGGGATTTTGCTATATCTATGTTTATTTGATGACGATGTCTGAGTTTTTCTTTTCTTTTCTATTCATGAACTATATATCTCGAACTTTTTGGTAATGTTAGTTCAGTACAATATTTGTGTTTGGTATTGAAAATACGATGATGACATCTTATATTAATTTAGCGATGAATGGTCAATGATTATACGTGTATTTGATATATATTATGATATAGTGTGGTTTTTAAAAGTATTTTTTATTTAAAAATATTTTTTTATATTGATATAAGTTTATAAACTTTTACCACTAATTCAAAAAGTTTCATTCCATTGATTAATTTGGTTACAAGAGCTACTAGAAAAAAAAAAAAAAAAGAAGTAAGATCTTAACTTCAAATACTATTCTTACATCCAAAAAAAACATGGAAAAAAAGAAGCAGAAGAAGTCAAGAAATTTTTAATATGAATAAAGAAAAATGTATTGTGATTTTTTACCACTTAATATTTAATAAGGAAAAAGAGAATAAATTTCCATCTAAACTTTATCTTCTAAAAAAACTGTCAAAACTAACTAAAAAATTGAAAAAAAAAAACACGGGAAAGCTGCTGGTGACCGAAATCTATGTTTTCATCAACCCTTTTTTTTTTTATTGGATAAGTAACTTGAATTGGTGAAGCTGGGAAAAACTAGAGTAAATAGTTGAGTTTAGGTTACTGGTCACCAGCAGCTTCCTCGCCTCCAAAAATTCTTCTTCCCACGTAAGAGTTTCAACCCTATCTGTAGCAACTCTTATCTGACACCATACGCTAGAGGCCAAAGATATTCCATTTCAAAAAAATAAAAATAACACCAACAAGGCGAAAACCATCCGATGCAGGGAGAGCTGTATAATGCCTGCGAATACAGTTAAAATCATGTTTTTAAAATTTTAATTTTTTTATAAAAAATTATTTTTTTTTTATTTTTTTTATTATATTAATGTATTGATTTTAAAAATAACTTTTAAAAAATAAAAATATATTATTTTAATATATTTCTAAATAAAAAATATTTTAAAACAACAGCACTACAGTTCTGTAAAAAAACAGCGGGCGCCCACGCAATTGCAGCTCTCACTAATTCATACACGTTGAGCCAAAAACAGCACGCCAAGAAAACACAAACAGATTGCTCCCTTACAACGCATGACCTCCTGCTATATATATATATATATATATATATATATATATAAAGGTGAGTATCGGTTTGAATTCAGTTTGACCAAAACATTAAACAAAAAAATTAATTTTAAAACGAACCAGACAGAATGAAAGAAGTCAGCTATCGGCTTTACATTTGCTAAAATCAAATAATTACAATCTTAATTAATGAGCTTTTAGTTGGGTTATTTTTTACAATCTTTTATTTAATAAGTCTTTTAGTTTATAATATAATGAGTTTTTTTGTTTAATTTAACTTGATTTAGATTATTTTTTTCAGTTTTTATGACATAAAAAAATCAAATCAAACTATTTTTTTTATTTTTTAACAGAGTTATCCAAAAAAAATAGCTATTTTTTTTTAACAGAGTTATCCAAAAAAAATAGAAAATTATTAGCTTAAGTTAATTTGATTAATTTTTTCATCTAGTTTTTTTTTTCAATATAATAGATATTCAAATTACCCTTATAAGCAAATACAAAAAATAATTGTTTTTTAATTATTATTATAATAAAAAAATATGATTAATTTTTTTATTTTTTGATTAGTTGTTACTATTTGGATTAAAACCAAATTAAGATGGCTATACATCTCACATGAATAAACCATAATTTTTAAAAAAATAAAAACACTACTATTTTGTATGTTAAAAAAAAATCGTTGAATATTGCTTTCAGACTAAGTTAATTTAGATAA